GTGTGGTGTGGGGTGGGGTGGGGTGGGGTAGTGGGGTGGGGTGGGTTGTGGGGGTGGGGGTGGGGTGGGGGTGGGATGGGGGTGGGGTGGGGTGGGGTGGGGTGGGGTTGCAAAAACAAGGGTCCGACCTACTCCCGCTTGTGTTTTCCTACAAAACACAAGCGGGAGTAGGTCGGACCCTTGTTTTTGGAGATGGCCACCCCAACCACCGCCACCACCCCCACCACCCCACCCACCCCACCCCAACAACGTGAAACCGGCGTGAAGGCCATTTACCCAAGAAGATTGGCCAACAAGAGTGCAAACAACAAACCAGGCGCGCGCGATTCTCGCCCTCTCTCACCCTAAACCCTAAGGGTTTAGGGTCTTAGGGCTTTAGGGCTTTAGGGTTTAGGGTTTAGGTCTTGAAGCCCCAAGCCGCAATCCCTGACATCCCTAAGCCCTACTCCTAGCCCCCACACCCTGCGTTGTTCGGAGTTCCGTAGATATTCTCGCAAGCAGGTATCTGTTTCTTTGGGCCACAGGTCGGTTTTAAACGGTGCCGGGTTGGGGAGCCCTACACTCACTGAAATTTTGTTAGGGGCTTGGGGCTCAGGATACACCTGCCGAGAGAGAGAGAGAGAGAGAGAGAGAGAGAGTGTGTGTGTGTGTGTGAGTGTGTGCAGGGTTTAGGGTGTAAGCCAGTCCCTGAGATTCTGCACCGCAAGCGTTTGGGGTTGTGGAGCTTAAGGCTTAGAGGGTTTAGGATTACTGTAAGGGCAGCAGTATGTTTTATAGTGGTATATGGTTTGGTACCAGACTGCAAGATTTCTCAATGGGGCTGCAGGCCGCGCTTCCTGATGATGGTGGGTTTGAAGCACCGTGGGAGCCCAGCACTTTCCGCCTGTATTGCTTCGACGTAGGAGCAGGGTGGAGCGCCTTTAACCTTCTTGGGTACAGGCATGTATAGCTATGCAACCTTGGTATAGTCAGACGGTTAACCTTGTTCGGGGGTCTCGGGTATGCAGAAGGCTAAGTCTGAAGTCATGTGCAGGCACGAAGCCCTCAGGCTGGACTTGTCTGCGGCTCAAGCCATTTTGGCCGCTCAAGGTGCTGGAGGTGCTTCCCCGTTTTGCTACTCAGGAGAATGACCAAGGGCTCCAACTCGAGGGTGGCTCAGGCCATGGCCCTGGCTTCCGCCGCCGCGGCAGGCTCCGCCTTCTCCATGATGGCGGCTCCTCAGGGCTCGCAGTCACGCGTCGTGGCCCGGGCGTCCGGACCGAGCCCGGTTTCCGCGCCAAGCAGCGGTGGTGTCGCCGGTGTGACGGGCCTAGTGGGCGCAGGCTTGGTGGCCAGCGCGGCGCTCGGCCGCTCTGTCAAGCCCCGTGGTGGCAAGAAGAACCTGGTGTCCATGGCCGCTCGTGGTGGAGAAAGCTATGACGCTCTGGTGAAGGACCTGGAGACTCTCGTCAAGGAGAAGGAGTGTGGACCGGTCCTGGTGCGTCTGTCGTGGCATGATGCCGGCGTGTTCTCGGATGGCAAACTGAAGGGTGGCTGCCCGAATGCCGCCATGCGATTCACCGACGGTGGAGAGGGCACCTTCGGCGCCAATGCAGGGCTTCCGGATGTTGCTCTTGGCCTGCTGAAGCCCATCACTGAGAAGTACGTGCCGGACACCATCGGACATGCAGATCTTTGGACCTTGGCTGCCAATGTGGCGATCAAGGTGATGGGAGGCCCGGACATCAAGACTCGCTTCGGCCGCAAGGATGCCGAATCCTCCGCCGACTCCGTGGAATCCCAGGTGGGCCGCCTCCCGGACGGAGACAAGGAGATTGATCACCTTCGGGAGATCTTCGCCCCAAAGGGCTTCAGTGACAAGGACATCGTGGCCCTCTCGGGTGCCCACACCGTCGGAAAGTGCCACTTGGATCGCTCCGGCTTCGACGGCCCTTGGACGGAGGCACCATTGAAGTTCGACAACAGCTACTTCAAGGACATGCTGGCAAAGGAGTGGACTGACGACAAGACGGAAAAGGGCAACCCTCAGTTCAAGAGTCTTAGTTCTCCAATACCCAACCTTTAAAACTTTTTGGGCTCTTATACTTTAGTAGTAATCTGAAAGTTGAAGCTTGAATTTCCATGGCTTATTGGGGAAGTAAGGAGTGAGAGCGGCACCATCATGCTCATCTCGGATCTTGCCCTTCTCAAGGATCCCGCCTTCAAGGAGCATGTCGAGACGTATGCGAAAGATCAGGACTTATTGGCTGTAAACTCAACT